GTGGCAACCAGAAGAACCAGCAGTCACAGAATTTACCCTGGAATCCACACACTGGCACGGCCCGGCCTTGCCAGAAGCCTCCGTCTTTCCATCACTCCAGAGAAAAGCAGCAGCTCCACGGGCATCAGGATACGAGAAAGTTGGGGGGGTGTACGTGGATCTGACTTTTCCGCGCACGCTGTGCCCCGAGCTACCAGAGCACCGCACCAGGGTCAGTGACTTTAGGAAGAAGTCAAAGTACCTGCATTTTAATCATTTCTTGACATGGTAAAATAATTTTACATTAGATCCAAGAGTGGGGGGGTGGGGCGAGGAAGAAGGGCTGCAAAACAACCCCACAAACAAGAGAGCAGGTAGAGGGAGACAAGGGCTCGGCATTAAGCTGGAAGGAACCTGGTGCGGTGGGAGAGGGGCACTGCCCAACTAAAATGCGGTGGTTTGTTACTGAGCACGACTCACGGGAAGACAGCATCCTGACTCCTTTCCTATGGGCATGTGATGCGTCAAAGGGATGCATCCCAGGGAGAAATGCAATTGGGGGCTGGAAGACAGAGACGGGGAGGAGTCAAAGCCCGGAGCAGATGCTGGGTCGCTGGCCGGCTGACTGTCCCATCGACTCACTGGCAGGCCTGGGGGGTGGCGAGCGACACAGAAGCTGTAATAAATGGTCTCCCCAGGGGTGTGAGGGAGAGGAGTGCAGAGATGGGAAGCAACTCTTCTACGGTCTGACTCACCCAGCAGAGAGGCACATACACACAAATACATGCTGGCACGTGTATCCACGTCCACACGCACGCGCGCACACACACACTGCTTTCCCTGGAAGCACAATACTATAAATAAGGGAAGTATTTCCCAAGGAGAAGCCCAGAAGGACCAGCAGCACTGGGACCGCACCGCTGCATACCCCCTTGCTCCACCCCCCGCCCCAACTGACAAATGGCCCAGGAAGAGGCATGAAGGAGGCAGAAGCCAGCAGGCAGCCTCTGTGGTCACGCAAACAGGACGTGAGCCAGAGGCAGGGGGCCTCTCGAAGCCCTCTGCTTCTCTATCGGGTCTCCAACCCACCCTGGGCACCACGAGGCTACAGTACCGGGAGAGAAGAGGGGTCCCGGGTTTTTGTCTGGGTAGATGGTACCCTCAGAAACGATCACCTCCTCCTTCCAAAAGGTGTGGGGTTGACAGCAGGTGGTATCAGCTAATGGCATGGGAAGGCAGCATGCCTCAATGTGTGTACACCTGCACACACGCGTACGTGTGAAAACAGCATTCTAAAACAAATGAAGAAGCTGGGGGCTTGGCTGAAGGGCTAAGGTGTTTCCTTGTGATCAGGGTCGAGGCGGGCTGTGTGCAGATGGGAAACCCTAAGTCTTCATCTGGGACTGGGAGGTGGTGGTAGACGGGGGCGGGAGCCAAGGTCCCAAAGAGGCAAGAGATGCTAACCTATGGCAGGAAAAGAAAGAGCTAGCCACAACCCCTGCCATCCCCAAACCAGTTCCTAAGAGATCACCACATACTTTCCTTCCAGTTCTCCCAGCTTCTAAGCAACTATCCTCAAAACGAAGAAAACACACAGCCTGAGACACAGGAGAGAGGGGAGAGGGACGCACACGGACGCTTGTGCCAAGAGGGGAAGCCGGTCCCTACACACCCAAGCTGGAGTTCTCCAGGACACAGGGCAGCTCGGGGTGGGGAGCAGGGGGAAGAGAGAGGAGAGTTCCTGAGGCCTGAACAAAGAGGTAAAAACACATGACAGAACTAGAGGAGAGTTTCATTAGACTAACTACAAACAGAGCGGTGCGATAGGACTTCCAGCCAGTTTCCCGGTCACGATAGTCACGTAACAACCCAAGGCAATGTCGGTCTTGGGCCAGACTCACAGAGTCCCCTGGCCCTGGCCTCAGTACAGAGTCTCTGCATTGCTACTCCGGGGCCGTTTGATCTTCTCGATATTTTTCAGGATCATGTCATGTAGAGTGACCTGGGAGAGGAGGAGGGAGGGGCAGGGGATCAGGCATCTGTCACACCACTGCCTCACAAAGAGGTGTAGCCCCACAGGTATGACCCCCAACCTCAAGCCCTTGAAAGTGCCTTCTGGGTAACTGCCCCCACCTTTTCTAGACACCCCGCCCCCAACCTCAAAACTGGTTCTAGGGCCTTTAACTAGTTTCCCAGACTCCACCTGTCCAGTAAGAGCTAGTGCTTACGGGGGCTTAAGTGGAGAGGAAATGTTTTGCGAATGATGAGGGCAACGAATGTACAAATGTGCTTTACACAATTGATGTATGTATGGATTGTGATAAAAGTTGTATGAGCCCCTAATAAAATGATTAAAAAAAAAAAAAAAGAGCTAGTGCTCAACATGTACCGAGTCATGCAAAACCCTTTGACGTGCGATCACCTGACGACTGTTTTTAAACCACCACCACCTTGGTGAGATAGATACAAGCCTCATTTTTAGAGATGAAGAAAGTGAGGTTTCAGACGTTAAAGAACTTGCTCCAGGTCACACCTGACAGGCAGACTGTCTCTTACCTTAATGCCATTCTCTGAAGTACCACACTGCAGCATCCCTTACCCCCACGTAGGGAGAAAGGAGGGAGGCACTCGGCGAGACCCCTCAATGCCTCCTGATTCTCCACACTCGAGTTCATGAGCAGACTCTGTCCCACTCATTTTGACCTCCCTCCCGGGGCCAACCTCCCAAGAACGACAAGGAGCTAACCCCGGGAACGAAGAGGCCGGGCCAACTGTGGGCAGGGGCCTGGGTTACTCACGTATTGATTCCGTAGCTCTGATATGATGAGCCGCAGACTGATATATTCTTTCTCATCGATCTCTGTCACCGTGCGACGATAGTCCTCCTGAGGGCGGAGGCAGGAGAGAAGGTGGTTTCCCCAGCAGTCCCCACTCTCTTACTGCTTTCACCCATCAGGCCACAAAACCCATACTTACCACATGGGGATATTTAGCTATTTTAGAGACCAATTTGGCTCTTGTAATATAATATCTGGAAGAGGAGAGAAAAGGAAGTTGCAGGAGACCCTGGGCGGTGCCCACCACCTCCTGGCCCCCAGGTCCTGGGTCAGGGCCAAGCCCAAGCAGACCTACCTAGAAATCTGGTCCAGATAAGAGGCAGCTTCACTCTCCACAGTCCTGAGTTCTGCGACTGTCTCTTCCTGAACAAACACAAACGCGCACACGAAAACATTCCCACGTCACCCCACGGCAGCTACAGACCAAACAGAGAGAGGGGAGCACCTGCCAAATGTCCCTCCCCGTTTACACCAGGCCAGCACATTACCTGAATGGACACCCCAAAGTTGTTCCCATCTTCTATCCTGGGAATCAGGAGCTGTACCCACATTTTGACCTGGATGGTGCAGGGACCAAGACACATGCATAAGAAATGTTTGCCTTTCACGCGGAATCCCTAAAGTAAGAGGGGGCTTCAAATTCCATTTTCCCGCGAACTTTTTAAGCCCCCTGACATGATTCAGGCTGCGGGGGTCCAATACCAGGAGGGCAGGAGATGAGACACCCAGCCTGTCAAAGCCCGGCCCTGCCCCTGGCCCCGGCCCCGGCCCCGGCCCACCGTGTTGCATTTCTCGATCAGCAGCCGGATCTCGGGCTTCACTTTCTCTATGATGTCCACCAGCTGCTGGTTGCTCTTCAGCATGCCACTGGGCATCACAAACACCTTGGTTCCTGGCAGGACATCAGGAGGTCAGATGACTGGTGTGTGGAGGGCAGGGCATCCTTTGCTTCTCCCTCTTGGTCCCCACTCCCCTGAGATGCTAGGACTGTTGTCTTGTGTCGCGACCCTGCCTACAGGCTGTGACATCGGTTAGAATCCAACAGAGAGGAGACATATTCTAGGTGAGTAGGTGAAACGTGCCCAACACCTTAACGGTTCAGAATTGAAAATAAAGCCTAATGTGCTCATTTCCTGGAAGGGGGAAAAGTAACACGACGCGGGGACTTCCACGAAGATCTGGATATGTGGATGCTACCTACAAATTCCCTACCTCACCAGGCCCAAACTTCCCTCCCTCACCAGGCCCAAAGTCCACCCCTTCTTTTTTACTGGAAAATTAGCCTCGCATCTAAATAATGACTATGTTTAGAGAGCTGACTTTGGGAAATAAAAATCAGATCCTGCTTCTTGGCTAGGAGACTTTCAGGTCCACCCTGCTGCTCAGATGCACGTCAGCAGTGGTGTGTGGCCCTTACCTTGGAAGGCCTCTTCACACTCATCCAATCTTCGCTTCTTGTACGTGGGCTACAGACACGAAAAGGCACGAGTCAGCCTGACCCGGCACCCACAGCTACAGCTGCTTTCAAGCCTGCTGAATCCCACCCTGAACCCCACCGGTTGTCTGAGCAACGTATGCACAATTCATTAAGCACAAATAACGCCTTCAAAAAAGGTTCTTGGCACATAGTAACCTATATTCTAATTGGGAAGACCAATCTTTCAAAAGGAAAAGACATCGACCCACAGGGGAGTAGGGATGAAAAGAGACGGTAATATATACAAATGACCAAAAAAGAACCAATTTATGCGGGGTGCGGTTCATTAAGGAGCTACATTACAGATCTGCTGGTTCCACAAAGGAACACAGATTTCAGATACCAAACACATCTAGCACCTGCTAAGCACAATGGTAGGTGCTAACAATGCAAAGATGATCAAGGCAGTTCGTGTCTCCCCAAAGTGCACTTCTATCAATGAGACAGTCCTTCAGACAAGGAAGGATGCAGTGTGATCCGTGTTCTAACAGAATAACCCAGGACTAACGAGAACGAAGCTGCCCGGCACAGAGAGGGGCTGGGGTTATATGGCAAGAAAAAGTTATCAAGGCATGGAAAGAGTAATTTCCCAGACTCCACCTGAAGTACTATTCTTGGAGCTGCAGGATAGATCGTACAGTCCAATAGAGCCTATACTTGGTTTACTCTTACACACAGAGGGTAGGAGGCATAGAACATTCTCATCATGCTACGAATCCAAAGGGAGTGTGCAATAGCTGTCATGTCCACAAAACCCAGAGGCCTGGTTCCCAGATCCAAAGCCAAACCTCACTGTCTCTTGTACTGACCAGGAAGCAGAGACTCTATTGCTTAAGAACAGGAAGATAAATATAAAACACTTACACCATCCAGTCCATCGTGGCTATTGGTGAGCAGAATGGGGTCAGGGACCGGGAGATTCATGTCTGAGTGGATCTGAGTTAGGTCATGGATGTTTAAGATCGGTTCCTGAAAGACAGATGGCCACCCCACCAAAAACCTTAGTCTTTTCAAGCTGAGCAAAATATTTCACCTGAAGGGCAAGAGGCAGCGTGGTGAATGACAGCATGGAACAAAGCGGACCCAACACAACACTTCGCCCCAGTTTTCTTTGAAAAGAGCAGAGCACCTAGCCCTCACCCCGCAAATGGGCAAAACTGGAATAAAAAGAGGAAAGAAATGGGTCTCTCACCTTCAAAAAACTATCAAGTTCTAACAACTTCTTTGGGAAAAAATTTGCCACCAAGTCTTCAGCCTAAAAGTGAGGCAAAACACAGCTGCTTTAGCAATTGTAGGAAGGTGTCTCCCTCTCCCTCTACACACACACACCCCACTGTGAGGCCTCTCTACACACCCCCCACTGTGGGAAGGTATCTCCGTACATGCACACCGCACTGTGGGAAGGTCTCTCTGCACGCACACACACACACACACCCCACTGTGAGAAGGTCTCTCTCTACACACACACACCCCACTGTGAGAAGGTCTCTCTACACACACACACCCCCACGGTGGGAAGGTCTCTCCGTACACGCACACCCCACTGTGGGAAGGTCTCTCTCTGCACACACACACACACACCACCGTGAGAAGGTCTCTCTACACACACCCCACTGTGGGAAGGTCTCTACACACACACACCCACACACACACGCACACACACACCACTGAGGTCTCTCTACACACACCCCACTGTGGGAAGGTCTCTCTACACACACTAACAACCTCTCAACTAGTAATCAGCTACTTAACTTTCTTGTCTACTTCACTCACCTCACTTGTGATCCGCTCCCTGAAAGAGTCAACCTAAAATTAACAAAGAGAGCAGCCTTTCAGTCACAGCAAAGTTAATACCTTGCAACAGAGGTTGGGGGGTGGGGGCCACCTGGGAATCTCAAATCCACCAGCCTTTCCCTCACCTTGTAATTGTAATCAGAAGCTGAAAGGCCCCCGGTCTGCAAATACTTTATTTTTTTGAGGATCCACTTTTCCATCTTAGGAGAGGGGGGTGGGGCTTGCAGGGAGCACCCACTTGTCTGCCTCTCTTTCCTCCCTCCCGCCCTCCCTCCCACTTCCCCTGCCTCCCCAAGCTGCCAGGGTTTGCTAGGGAACAAAAGGCAAGGCAGACCGGAATGTGAGCTCACAAATGTGCCAGCCCCCACCCAGGCCTGGCCTATGATATGGGCAGGCCTGAGTCGCCAAGGGTAGGGGTAGGGTGAGGGGTGGGGGGTGCGGCGGCGGCAGAGGCAGTGGCAGTGGCAGTGGCGGCGGCAGAAGCAGCGTCCGGGGGCGGGAACGTTGCTGCGCCGGGAGATTTCCAGCTGTCACCGGCCTGAAGCAGGGAGGCCAACACGTGTCCTTGGAGGTCTCCGACGGGCTCTCCAGCCCCAGTCGGGTTCCTCGGGTACCCCGATGCCGTCTCCGGGAGTGGGGGGCGCTGGGCTGAGCCGAGCGGAAGCTCAGAGCGGGCGTCCCCAGGGAGACAAAGGCGCCACGGGGAGCAGGGAGCGGGGCGGCCTGCGGAGGGAGCCAGGCGAGGGGCGAGGAGGCTCGAACCGGCGCCGATACCTTGAGCTTCACTTCCTGATCCACCTTCAGCAACGAGGCCATGGCCGGGCCGGGCCGTGTCCACTCCGCTGGAGACCGGAGGCGCTGTGGGCTCCGGGGCGGGGGCCGGGAAGCGGGGAGGAATCTCGGCTGCCCTGGGGACACCGCTGCCCGCGCCGGCTCACCCACTGCGCGCTCGGTGCCTGCCTCCGTGCCGCCCGCCTGCTGCCTGCTCGCTTTCTCGCCTGCCCTCCCGGCTTTCGCCGCTCGCCCC